TCCTGCCCCTTCAGGTGTGTCCCAGGTAGACGCAGTCGAGCCTGTCGAGGTTACTGGTGACTCTGGTGCTGCTGAGGGTGCTGAGCCTGGGGGTGCTGACTCTAGGGGTGCTGAGCGTGTGGGTGCTACGCCTGGGGGTGCTGAGCCTGAGGGTGCTACTACTGGGGGTGCTGAGCCTGAGGGTGCTGAGCCTGGGGGTGCTACTACTGGGGGTGCTGAGCCTGGGGGTGCTGAGCCTGGGAGTGCTACGCCTGGGGGTGCTACGCCTGGAGGTGCTGAGCCTGGGGGTGCGGAGCCTGAGGGAGCTGGGCCTGCTCGTGTGGCGTCTGGCGGTGCTGAGCCTGGAGGTTCTCCGGGTGCTTCGTCTCGGCGGGAGCCACTCTCTCCACAGGAGCTGCGCGAGTGGTTTGCCCGGCGCTGGAGGCGTGCTGCTGGAGCTGGAGGTTCTTCGGCTGCTGAGGGTGCTGGTGCCGCGGGTCCCGGAGGTGCTCGTACTGGGAGTACTGGAGCTGCTGGGCCTGCGGGTACGACTGGAGCTGGAGCTGCTGAGGGTGTTGGCGCTGAGGCTACTGCTGTCGGTCCTGGAGGCGGTCCTGCTGGGGGTGCTACTGGTGCTGCTGGAGGTACTGGAGCTGGAGGTGCTGCTGGCGCTGGTGCTGCCGCTGGGGGTACTGGTGCTGTCCCTGCTGTGTCTGGAGTCGCCGCGCGGCCTCGGCCGTACTTCGTTCCGCTCCTTCAGCAGGTTCTTGGTCTCCCGCCTTCTACTGGTCCTCCTCCTCCCTTAGCGTGTCCCCAGCCTGTCCCGTCACAGTTACAGTTACAGCCGGCCTCCCCACTGCCCGCTCCTTCTCCCTACACTGGTCCTACTGGAGGTCTTGCTGAGCGTCGTGAGCCTGCGTCTCGCCCTGCGTCGCCTGTCCGTGCTGCTCGCACTAGTGCTCGTGGTTCGCGTCAGCGTCCTCCTCCTGTCCCTGGCACGCACCGGATGTCTCTGCGTCCGTCCACTGCTCCTCTGCGTGCCCCTTTGCCTTCTCCTCCTGAGTCCTCTCTTCCTGCTCTTCCTGACCCGGAGTCGGACTCTCTTCGTGCTGCCAGTCCTACTGTCACGCGTCTCCTTGCTACTGTTGTCACTGACCCTTCCTTTGAGTCCACTGCTGCGTCTGCCCTAGTTACTGAGCTCGTCGACTTTGCTGCTCGCTGTCGTCTAGACTACGCTGCTAGTCTTGTTGCTGAGTCTGAGTCTGTCTGTCCTCCGTCCGTCGGGGGTGAGTGTGCCCTTGGCACGGACGTCCTTGAGGACAGGCAGGAGGAGTTCCAGTGTTTGGCTGCTGCTTCACCTCATCTCGTGTCCGTACTGCTTACCCCTGAGGGAGACCCGGATGCACTTGACATCCCGACTCCGCGCTCTTACGCGGAGGCGATAGAGGGTCCCTACTCCTCTCAGTGGCAGGCAGCTATGGACGCAGAGATGGCTTCCTTGAAGTCCACAGGCACCTACGTTGACGAGGTTCCCCCGCCTGGGGCGAACATCGTCAGTGGCATGTGGATTTTCAGGGTGAAGCGGCCGCCGGGTTCTCCGCCTGTCTTCAAGGCGCGTTACGTGGCTCGTGGCTTCAGTCAGCGGCAGGGAGTTGACTACTTTCAGACCTTCTCTCCCACCCCGAAGATGACCACTCTTCGGGTACTGCTGCACATAGCTGCTCACCGCGACTACGAGCTGCACTCTCTTGACTTCAGCACTGCTTTCTTGCAGGGCAGCCTGCACGAGGAGATCTGGCTTCACTGGGTCTTTTCCTCCTGGCACCCAGTGGAGCCTCCGGCGGCCAGTCTACGGTCTCCGCCAGGCACCGCGTGAGTGGCACGACACACTGAGGACTACACTTGCGGCTCTTGGGTTTGCTCCCTCTACTGCCGACCCGTCGCTGTTTCTGCGCACCGACACTTCTTTGCAGCCGTTCTACATCCTCGTGTACGTCGACGACTTGGTCTTTGCCACAGCTGACACTGCTGGACTCGCCCACGTGAAGTCCGAGCTGCAGAAGAGACACACGTGCACAGACCTGGGTGAACTGCGCAGCTACCTTGGCTTGCAGATCACCCGGGACAGAGCACGCCGCACCATTACCCTGACTCAGTCACACATGGTGCAGCAGGTCCTTCAGCGCTTCGGCTTCACGTACTCCTCGCCTCAGGCCACTCCTCTGCCTACTCGCCACTCGCTCTCAGCTCTGCCTTCGGATGAGTCCGTAGAGTCGAGTGGCCCGTACCCAGAGCTTGTTGGCTGCCTCATGTACCTGATGACCTGCACACGACCTGACCTTGCATACTCTCTTAGCATTCTTGCACGCTATGTTGCTCCTGGGACACACAGACCGGAGCACATGGCTGCAGCGAAGAGGGTGTTGCGCTACTTGTGCAGTACGTCGGGCATGGGGCTTGTGCTTGGAGGGCAGAGTCCAGTGGTCCTCACTGGACACGCAGACGCTTCTTGGGCTGACGACCAGGCTACGCAGCGGTCGTCACAGGGTTACACCTTCAGCCTTGGTTCCGGCTCTGTTTCGTGGCGGGCTACTCGCTCGTCTTCTGTTCTCGGCTCCAGTTGTGAGGCTGAGATCTACGCCGGGGCCATGGCTGCACAGGAGCTTCGCTGGCTCACCTACCTGCTGACTGACCTCGGAGAGCCGCCTCGTTCTCCTCCAGTGCTCTACGTAGACAACAAGGCCATGCTGGCCTTGTGTCGAGAGCAGAGACTGGAGCACAGAACGAAGCACATTGCTCTTCGCTACTTCCTTGCTCGTGAGCTACAGCAGCGTGGTCAGCTGCGACTTGCGTACGTGGCCTCTGAGGCCAACACTGCTGATATCTTCACCAAGGCACTTGCGCCTTGTGATTATCAGCGCTTCTGTACTCAGCTGGGTCTTGTACCTACCTTGCCTCACTTGCTCACCTCTTGACCTTGTTTGTACTGTTGCATATATATATACTCCTGCTCTTGCTTGTCTAGCCTTATATCTATATGTAATCCTGCATGTGAACTGGCCTTGTGGCCTTGAACTTGTGCTCGGAATGTGTGGTGACTTTGTGATCCACCCTGAGCTTGCTTTGCTTTGCTTGACTGGTCTTGTGACCCCTTGTTCTCCCCCACTTTGCCTATGGGGGTGTGTCAGAGTTATATGACATAGCTACTGTAGGCTATAGTGGGGTAGCACATATGGGGTACAGTTGCCTAGGGTTTGCCTTTTGTACCCAACTTTCAATTAGTCATTTCATTCCTGTTTTCTTGATTCACAGTCAACTTGGTGACATCAACTTGGGGCAGCCGACTTGGGTGGTTGGTTGACGGACTCCTGGTCGACCTGGTGGTTGGTCGACCAGGCATGCTGGTCGACCTGCTGGTGGTCGACCTGACCTGGTGGTCGACGAAGGAGGGGCCGACTTCGACCTCGACTCAGGACGCCGAGCAGTTGGGCGTCGAGTAGCTGGGTGTCAACTTCATGACGTTGACTTCAGGTAGCCGACTTGGGTGGTCGGCCGACAACTGCGCTGGTCGATATGAAGCTGGTCGACCAGGACTGCTGGTCGATGTGGAGCTGGTCGACCAGGACTGCTGGTCAACCAGGGGCGTGGTCGACCTAATGAGGTCGACGTGGAGGTGGCCGTCGACTTGAGAGGTCGACGGGCACATACGGGAGCAGCTGGTCGACGTGGTTGCCCGGTCGACCAGGTTACCTGGGTGACGAGGTTCTGCGGAGGAGAGCGACGGTCGCCCAGGCGAAGTTGGCGAGCCCGACCTCGGTGGTGGTATCCCGAGGTCGACGTGGCTGATCAGAAGTAGTTATCAGCGCCATGTTGACTTGGTGTGTGCGTCGTGCAGGTGACGAGGCTCAGCCCGCCAATCATCCGCGAGCACCTGCGAAGCGGGTGCGCTGCTGTTCTGCGTGAGCAGCGCTGGCACGCCATCAACCTGCGACGTTGGCACGCCGTCGACTTTGCACTGCTGGAGCGCGGTCGACCAAGTCGTGCTGGAACGCGGTCGACCATGCTGCGCTGGCAGTCGACCGACCTGAATGCTAGCTCTGATGTAGTCTTGCTATACCAACTTCATTGTACCATTGTTGTCAACTTTCTCTAGTGAAACTCTTGCAAATTTACCCTGTGAACTAGCAATCTGTGTATGCACAAGGAAACCGACTAAGGACCAACGAACGCAGAGATCACACGAGCACCCGTGCCTAGCCCGTAGTCTAGCTCCCGTTGTAGTAGTTATCTTCGCACAGCAAGCCCATTGCTTTTCATACACCCGAATTCTGTTCCTTCGTGCAGTGTAGTCACCGCGTAAGCCTGTACGGACCCGAACACCATCCTCCCCGTCCTCCAACGAGTCTTCTTCCACCAACGTCGCCTCGTCCTCTAACACGCTGGGCCTCTCATTGGTGTTGTGCCCAATCGACGGTCCTGGATCAACGGCGGGAGGTGGAGGGTCGCGGGCTGGTGCCGCAGTTGGTAGAGGGTTGCGGGTATGTGCCTCAGTCGGTGGTACGACTCCTAGAACCGCAGCTCTCAGCACGATATTGTCAAAGTTGAAGCACACGGCTGTTCCACGCCATCCACTAGGCACGATGATCGGTGAAGATTGTCGTAGTGGATGCGAGGCCCACTGTGATGTTGATGGTGCGCTTGTTTTTGAATGATGGGCTGCAATATGCATACCGCAAATGCCGGGAGCTTATTTGCTTTGTACGCTACCGCTGATCAAGGAATAATGTGAAGAGGGGGTGTATGAGGAATCAACGTATGAAAGTTTGTTGACAATTCAGATGGGTCGTATGCAATGCTTTTAAATATTATGTTGTGCTAAATTAAATACTTACCCCACATAACATGGTACTCAAGAACAAACGATCGCATTGACATATCGTGATTCAAAAGAACCTGGTGCTGCAGATGGGTCGGACGGAGTGGATGGTGACGGTGATGCAGATGGTCCTACAGATGCGGACATGCGAGGCGCTGCGGAAGGCCCTGGCGCTGCGGATGGGCAGGGCGCTGCGGATGATGCAGGGGCAGCGGATGATGCCGGTGCTGCGGATGGGCGGGTCATAGAAGTGGGTGATGGTGCTGCGGATGGGCGGGGCGTTGCGCAAGGTCCTGGCGCTGCGGATGGGCAGGGCGCTATGGGCAGGGCCTTGCGGATGATGCAGGTGCAACGGATGATGTCGGTGCTGCGGATGGGCGGGTCGCAGAAGCGGGTGACGGTGCTGCGGATGGGCAGGGCGCTGCGGATGGGCAGGGCACTGCGGATGATGCTGGTGCTGCAGATGATGTTGGTGCTGCGGATGGGCGGGGCGCAGAGGAGGGAGAGGGTGGTGCGGTTGGGCGAGTCGCTGCTGATGGTCCTGGCGCTGACGATGGCCCTGGCACTGCAGAATGCGGAGGTAGGCGTCCTGCGCCGCTCTGTCTCTGTCGCCGGCCGTGTTGGCGCGACTGTGATGCTCGAGCACGCCGCCGTGCGTCCGCTGCATCGGCCGCAATATTGTTGGCGGTCGAGCGTGTCCGGCGTGTTTGCCGAACGTTGCGTCTGCGAATTCGAAAGCCAGCTGGTGGAGTGGGGTTTGGCCCCGGCGCGTCGGCCACAGGTGCCGGACCGTAGAGGTAAGTCGTGAGCAGCGGATGGGATTCCCGTGCACCGGCCTTGAGGTCGTTGTACTTCATCAACGACCTTGCTGTCAAAAGCCGCCATAACATGTCCACGAACCGCTTCACGTTCTGCTGCATGTGTGACCCACAGAATAGTGCGCCACCTTCTCTGGGAACACTTCCTTCACCGCCGGGATGAGGCCTTTGTCACCGTCGCTGATGGTAGCCGCGTCGTCCCGCCCCTTCCAGTCGGAATAGTGCTCATCAAAGAGCCGGAATGTAGCGGAATGACTCGCACCAGTCGCCGAATTGCTGCTCCGTGATCCCTACCTTCAGCATGTGCAGGTGGAATATTTGGGTGGAATCGGGACATGAGTGACGGGGATGTACAGAGTCGTTATCAGAGACGATGACCACACGTTTGGAGTATGACGGATGTACGCTCACGGGTAAGCGTTGTTGTAAGTTACAGTAACTTCGGACCAGAGGAGGCCTGAATCTGCCTGGCGTAGTCCGAAGGGGGTTAAAAAGCGTTGCACAAACGAAGTTGCCGAATTTCCGCCAAATGTACTTCCTCTTACACCCAATTCCCGGCCACCATCGGCCCTGGTAGACACGGTCGCAAGTGTGCTCCGAGGGATCGGACAGCTGTACGATTTGCCACGGCCCGTTTCGCTGGATGCGAGCATAGCTGCACCGCCATGGACATTCTGGCTCCAAACCAAGCTTCTGACTCTAGCACAAGGGAAGCGCCGATGCCTTTCTGGTAGCCTTCATGTAGAAACCGGATTTATGCACCACCACATCATCAAGCAAGTCAAAGAGGCAATGATCTCGCGAGGAGTACCAGTCACCCTCCCGAATGGCAGCGTTGTCATTGATAGTAGGTCCCTCCTCAGGTTCAAACTCTACATGGAACTACTCTAGGATGATGTCATACATATCACCGCCATTAGCCAGAGGTTCCGCCATTGTGGTTCTGCCAGTACAACTATGTTATCCCATCGCAATATGTAGGTGGTAAACCTAAGCCCATGTATTTTTTGGGCACGACACGAAGGCTGGTATGAACGGCAGATTGAACGGCATTTGGTGTTGGTGTAGAATGGACACGAAATCCCTGACAGTTCAAATCACAGCTAGGAACAACAACAATTCACCTGTCAGACCCAGGTGGCATAATCTTGGCGGTGGTTGTGATCATTGCGTCTCGTCAAAAATCGCGGTGACAAAATTGTGTTCGAACCGCCGGCGCGTTTATCAACAGGAACTAAATACAACTAAACAAATCAAGATGAGACATGTGGCATAGATCTTCAAAAGTGGTGCGAGAATCCTATATAAAAAGCGAAGCCGCCGCCAACCCACCAATCTTCATGCGTTCCTACATAACATGTCTGTCACAAGTGCACGCACGTGGAAGGGTGTTCAGAAACGGCATTATTTAAACGAGTCGCCCGACATATCATATATTTGTGTGGAAGGTTTACATTACTGTATCTGTACATGCGCCCGACACCCACAACCGAATGGTTAAATAGCTCTGGCCAATTATGTATCGACACGTTCAGCCGAAACTCAATGCCGAACCTGTTCGCGCTCAACCTTTGCCAAACCGTCTTTCCACACTGTCAGGAAAGAAATGACCAATCGGATGATACTGCGTGGCAGAGAAGTTCGACTTCAACCAGCAAACTGTCCACCGACAAATTGGAAACCCCCCAAAAAAAACCCTTATGGTGTTTATATAAACCAAAATGTCGGGAGCGCGGAACGCGCGGGATAGAAGGTGGAGTGCCAGGGTTTCGGGTTGTGGAAAAAATTGAGCGCGATAATAAAATTTCACGAGACCAAAGCCCGCGCCGCGGTAATTCTCTCCCTAGTTTCCCTAACCCATCCCAACAACGAAACGGTGTACTTCGTTCTGATTTGCATAAGGGAAATCAAGATTTCGCCAGCCTACTACCTTCTTGCGACAGGTGTCGACTGAAAGCAGAGTCAACTCTAGTCGCCATGTACTCTTGTCTATGCTGCGACAACTGACAGGAAACTGGGTAACCAGCATTGTCGTTTGTTGGAATAACCGAAAAGGTTATGAAAACATTCCCGAAGGCTCTCCACTCTCGCGTCACTCCATAACGAAGCAACGCGACTGTATCAGTATCGCAATAGCTCATATAGAGCTTGCAGAAGATCGAGGGTCACCCGAAGGTCAACAGTCGAATACAGTCAACGGTCGTGTCCCTTGACTGCCCAGTAACCGCACGTGGCAGTTACGAGATGCAACGTCGTAACTGTCAAGAATGGCAATAGTCGTGGTTACTATAGCAATGTAATTGGGTTGATAAGGGAATGTACCCCTCAGAGTACATGGCTAGCTAGGATTGCCATTTATATTCATGTACTCCTGTGTTATAATTATCTTGTTCTTTCAACCTTATCAACAAGGTCATTACAGAGTCTTCATAGTCTTCTCACACACTTAACAGGCTTATGTCAGGAACTAGCAGTAGAAAGTAAGAATGAAGAAAGAAGGAGGTTTCACTAGCAAGCACTTGGATACATATAGCAAACCCTAATTGGGCTGTACTCACTATGGAGTACCCCACTGCAGGCTAGACAATTATAACATTCTGACACACCCCCATAGCCAAAGTGGGGTGTAATCAGTACAAGCAAGCATAGTAATAGTTCACAATTACAAGCAAAGCTAGTGGTAATCACAGCGGGCAAGTGAGGAGGAGGAGGAACTGTGGAAGGAGAGAAGATGGGAGGCAACGACTGAAGCTGCAGAGGCACGGGCACAGGAGCTGCTGATCCAGGGTTACCGAAGCAAGGGCGACGGACCCACAGTGGCTATCGAAGCAAGGGCGACGGACTACTGGAGTGACTGGCTCCGCGGCTAAGAATTGCGGCAGGAGCAACGGACCCACTGGCGACTGGTGCAACAGGCTCACTGGCTACCGAAGCAAGGGCGACGGACTACAGGCGCTGCAGGCGACACGACAGCTACCTCCACACAACCTCCTCCAACTGACCCACACCCTTGACACACACCCCCTGCAGAAACCCTAGCTTCACTTCCACGTCACCCCCCTTAAACCCTAAACCCTCGGCTCCCACACACCCACCCCCCTCAGCGGCAGCTGCAGCAGTGGGAGACGGAGGAGGAGGAGGAGTAGGGGATGGATCACACACCCGCCACCCCCATACTTGCCACCCCCATACCCCCAAACGCAGGGCAAAAACGGGGGCAGCAGCTGGGGCGATGTGTGAGCAGAAGCGGGGCGGCGCGCGCGCCCCCAGGGCGCCTCGACGAGTGACAGGAGGGGGGGACACGCGGCCCCCCAGGGCGCCGCGACGGGCGACGGGAGGGGCGACGCGCGGCCCCCCAGGGCGCCTCGACGAGTGACGGGAGGGGGGGGACGCGCGGCCCCCCAGGGCGCCGCGACGGGCGACGGGAGGGGCGACGCGCGGCCCCCCAGGGCGCCGCGACGGGCAACGGGAGGGGGGGGGTCGACGCGCTAGTCCCCAGGGCGCCGCGACGGGCGACGGGCAGCGCGACGCGCGGCCCCCCTGGGCGCCACGACGGGCGACGGGATGGCGGGGGGAGGGGGGGCGCGCGCGGATCCCCCACGGCAGAAAACCGCCGCGCGCCTTGGGGCGCACGGCGGGCAGAAACTCGCCGCGCGCCCCGAGCGCACGGCGGGATGAAAACCCTAAAAATTTTCGCCGCGCGCGGAGCGCAGAACCAGAAACTTGGCATCAGCGGCTCGGCCACCCTTCACACACCACGCCCAAGAACTCTCTCAAGGCAGGCGTCTTCAATGACGACGCATTGCTTCTTCCTTGAGGAGGCTCTCTCATAGTAAAATCTGATGACCCGCCATGCATCGTGTGCCCGACTGCGTCACTCACTCACAAACCCTTCTCAAACTTACCTCCCGGCTACGAACGCTACAAGCCGCTCGACAAAGTCTACAGCGACTTCATGGTTCTAAGTCAGGTAGGGCTCGACGGGGAATCTTACACCCTTACCTTCATCGACGCATGTACACGCTATGTCTGGGCTATCAACGCCGACTGTCGCTCTCTTGCCTTTGAGTGCTTCGTGGCCTGGATGAAACGGGCCAAACGACAGTCCCGACTGAAGCTGAAAACCTACCAGACAGACGGGGGTTTGGAGTTCTTTTCCACTGAAGTCAAGGAGCTCTTCAAGGAGAAGGGGATTGAGCACCTGGTGTCCCTGTTAGAATGTAGAGGTGAACGAGAATGGATGAAACTAGGTAGGAGGGGGATACAAGTAGGAAACCCTAACAAAGTTGTACCCCCTAAGGCTAAACCCACTATAGCCTACACAATATAAACATATAATGTTTGACACACCCCCATAGGCTAAGTGGGAGACAACCAGATGGTCACAAGACCAGTCAAAGCAAAGCAAAGCAAGCTCAGGGTGGATCTCAAGGAAACCACACAAATTCTGAGCACAAGCAAGTGGTCACAAGACCAGTTCACATGCAGGTTGATAGTATAACAAGAGATACAGTGATCACAACCTAGCAAGAGTAAACATGCAGGTATATATATAGAGATCACAGTACAAGCAGAGTCAAGAAGTAAGCAAGTGAGGCCCAGTAGGCACAAGGCCTAGAACAGTACAGAAGCGCTGATGGTCACAAGGCTGAAGCGCCTTGGTGAACACATCAGCAGTGTTGGCCCGAGTGGCCACATAACGCAGATGAAGCTGACCGCGCTGCTGCAGCTCTCGAGCAAGGAAGTAGCGCAGAGCGATATGCTTCGTTCTGTGCTCCAGTCTGTGCTCCTCACACAAGGCAATGGCAGCCTTGTTGTCGACGTACAGCACTGGAGGAGAACGAGGCCGCTCTCCCAAGTCGGTCAGCGGGTAGGTGAGCCAGCGTAACTCCTGTGCAGCCATGGCTGTGGCGTAGATCTCAGCCTCACAACTGGAGCTGAGAACAGAAGACGAGCGTGTAGAACGCCAAGAAACTGAACCAGAGCCAAGGCTGAAGGTGTAACCCTGAGACGACCGCTGAGTAGCCTGGTCGTCAGCCCAAGACGCGTCTGAGTGCCCAGTGAGTACAACTCGGTCTCGTCCTCCAAGCACTAGCCCCATGCCCGACGTACTGCACAAGTAGTGCAACACCCTCTTAGCGGCATCCATGTGCTCCTTCCAGTGACGGCCAGGAGCGACATAGCGTGCAAGGATGCTAAGAGGGTATGCAAGGTCAGGTCGA